GGAAACGAAACAAACTAAATGCCATCAGTATGACCACAAAGAGTGGTTGCATAAATCATGGCTCAGTCTTAACTATGAATATTGTGCAGCCATTAACATGAATGAAGTAGAGTATATCAGTTTATTTAGGGTTTACAGATAAGTGAAAAAACCTGAATACCAAAACTCAAAGTATTCCACTTTTATTGTTGCTGTTAGGGAGAAAAAACAGCAGACTCTGCCCTTCATCTAAGCTCACTTGGGCTATGACTTTGAAAATTAAATCTGTCATCTGTTTAAGAAAGAACTATGGGACACAAACACATTTGCTATTGTCTAGTGTTATAAATAACACAATTAACAGCGTTGGCATTAAATTAAACACCTTTACTTCACAGGCTAGGAAACTGAGGAAGAAAGTTATATGAGGAAGTAATATTTAGGGAGAATATTTTAGGAGAGATTTTGAGATATGCAATGAAGTTTTTATCTAAAATATTTAAGTGCAGAAGTTGTAGTTTAGAGAATTTTTAAATTGAAAATAATCATAGATTTATTATGTACGTTAATATGACCAAAACATTGGAAATTCTAAACAGAAATGGCTATTAGTATATGTATATTTATATAATAGTCACATGAGCTACAAACAGGTTTAGATATATTAGTATGCAACATTTACTGTAGATGTAATGTCAATCTACAGCTTAAAAGGGGAAACCCATTTTTTGAAGACTCAATTATAATCTGAGTAAAAGTTATACTTCTTAAACAATGAGAAATGCACAAAAGGAAATGTTTCGAAAAATATTTCAACAAATTTGAGGAAAGTGATGGCATAGTCATTTTTTAATGGTCCATAAAGCTGGAGGCAAAAAATTAAAGTATTCACAAGAGAGGAAATTCAAGTACAGCCAGTTTGCTATCTACATTAGTGCCCTTAGAGCTCCATCCTCCACCTTAGAATACCCAAATGAACATGTTTTATACAAGTATGTCAAACATTGGAAATCTTGAACAATGCCCAACAAGCAGATATGCCACAAAAGAAATATTGTACGGCCTACAGCAAATCCCTTGAATTTCCTGCCTTTTCTCAAAGTAGACTTGGTTCTAAAATGCTGGTGTTCTGCAGGAGACACCAATGAAAGAGTTTTCTTATTTCTTATGAAAACAAATGAAAGAAAAAAGACTTAACTGTTGGGGAAATTAAGATACAGATTAAGAAAAAACATCTGTAATTCTACCAAACAAATAGGAGGTAGCGAGTAGAGAGACAGAGAGAAGTAGGTATTCAACAGTTAGTCACAACAGTAAACACTTAAGTTTTCTATATTGGAAAAAATCTAATGTTACAGACTTATCTTTAGCATACATATACTTTTTGGCATTTTAAAAAATAAATTCCATAAATGTGCATGTTAATTTATAAGTAAGTAAGTCACATGTTCATGTCCCTAAGTGCTGAAAGTAGTACCAACTGAAAGTAAACAAAAAACAAATTATGCATGTGACAGCAACAGTGAATTAGCATCACTGGACAGATTTGGGGAGATCAACAGAGAAGTGCAGCATCAAAAAACAGTGGGTCCATTTATGACACTCAGTCAATTATTACTGACTATTCCACTATATTTACACTGACAGAAAATATTAGCAGTCTTTTTTTAAGCACAGAAAGTTCTAGAGAACTTGAGATATTTGGAAAAATTAAAAGGCTAAAGTCTTTTAGTATATAATTAATATAATTTTTTCAAGCCATGCTATATGTTGTATCAGAGTTTTACGCAGCACATATCCTTCAAACTCCTGATTTTAGTTGAAGTGTATAATCTTAAAGTCATCTCTTGTTACACTTGGGATGGGTGCAACAGTATTATATATCAATTATTAATTCACTTTTTACATTTATATTTTGAGTGTACTTTAATTAAGTGTTCCCTAGGCTCAAAACCTTATTAGGCTGTTGTTCGTTTTAAAAATGAAAGAGAGAATTTATCCCACAGTTAGTATTTCTAAGCTCTAATATTTGTAAAGCCACTTGCTCTTCAGCTGATAGCAACTTCAATACTTTTTTTGCCTTGTAGAATACAGTCAATAGCTATTTAATGTTAAGAAGAACGTAAAATGTTTAAAAGTTACTGACAATTAAAATTTCAGACCACAGTGAATCTTGGCATGCAAATGAATGTTGGTATCTATTTTTAGTATCAATGTTTTCTTAAGAATTATTGCCTTTTGAATGATTTAGTTGGTAGGCAGCAAATTACATATAAGATGTTCGAGTCTAAAATGACATGAACATATAATTAATTTCTCTACAAATGTCCCTAAATAAAGTTACCTGTTTAGTACAGATTTGAGTAGTAAGAAAGTTAAAGAGCCATTGTCAGGGACATGATAAATGCACACAAGAAAGAAAACATTTTTTAATTTTGTAGACTCTACAATCTAGAAAGCCCATGAATATTTACTATTAATTCAGTATGCTGAAAAGTAGATAAAAGCAAGTCCATGCAAGAGAAAAAGCAACATAAAACAAAACACTATAATATCAAATTCTATAAAAATTTCCATAATTTTATATCTACATTTGAAATCACTGGGGTTTTTTTGCATATTTCTAGAGGGAATCTTAAGTATTTCTTTCCCTTTATAAAATACTACAAAATATTTGGAAATTGTTGGGATATGGTTAAGATCTTTGTTCTGACAAAAAACCATTTAGAAAAACATCATTAGTAAAATAGTAAGTTTTATGTATATTCATAGAATGTTCTACTACATTCCAGAAAAATGTATTTTATGAAAGTCTGATAATTCCAGCTGTTGTGTTGCTATTAATTATTTAGGAATGTCATTTTTACAGTTGTTTTAACTCTCCTCTATTTCTAGACTCTTCTTGTAACTTGTAAGTCAGCCCAGATTAGGATGCACACATAGTTTGACTATGCTTTTTAAATCAAATGCAATACACAAATGACTCCACATTTAAAGATGAGTGGCAGTAACAATGAAAAAATAACTTCTAAAGAACAAGAGAAATGTTGTAAGGAAGTTGTTGGGTTAGGACATAAGAAAAAGAATAATAATAAACCTAAATCGACCCAATATATGCCTCAAAAAAGTGTTCTGTGGGAGCAAATAAAATAATAACAAATGAATGAATAGGACAAATAAACTCATTACTCATGAAAAAGAAATAGAGAAATTCTAGGTCAACTCAATGTGAAGCATAAGATCATACTGAGCTCTCCACCAAAAATTTTAATAGGATTCACTACTTTGGTATTCCTTCCCTTCACTACGCCTCTGGATTTCTACATTTTACTCCCAGCTCTTTGCCACCAAAGTTCTAGAGAATAATTAAGCCCCAGTATCCTAACATTCATTGTCTGTCATCAATTAACTTCCCGCATGCATAACTCATGTTGCTAAATAGCTATATAGCATTGATGGGAAAAGTGAGGAAAGAGTTACTCATTATTTTCTGTAGGGATTTATTGCTGAACCTTTGAAAATAGCTGCTTACATCATACAATTCTTACATTTAAATATTACTTAAGATTTTAACTTCTACAGAATTTTATTTTATTTCTATACTAATTTTCATAATGCAGAGGTGTAAGATTTTTGATTAAATTTAAAAGTTTCAGAATTATAACATTTTTTCAGTGATGAAGAGGAGCTCATAGAAAAACAAGAATTAGAAAATAAGTCATCTGGCTTAGCAAGGTACTGCATAAAGTCCACTTCACTTAGTAGTAATATGGAATCAAATTTTGAAACAAGTAATTAGAAAAGTTACTTAATGCTGCTATTTCTCAATTATGCCTAGATTTTAGCATGTTAATACCTAGAAAGGATTGTCATTTTCTCATTGACATTCTGTAGTGTAGATAATCTAATTTGTAGAAATATAATATTCTTTCTCCTCAAGGGATTCAGCAAAGCTATTTTCATTTTGAATGGGAAAATGTTTTATGTAAGCATTTTTACTTTTTTGTGAGTAGTTATTTGGAAAGGAGAAAGTTGGCCCTCCTTAATCTCTCTTTCAAGCTGTTCTTTTTATTTAATTAATTGCTTAAATACACAATGCTTTTTAATACCCTTTTTGACTGTTGATTAGTTGTGCCCTTTTTGTTAGTGTGTTTTTCAAAGGAATAATTCTTGGGTTGTCTTGTTTGTTTGCTTTTTGTTTGTTTTATGTTTCAAACAGTGCTAGGCAAGTGCTCTACCAATGAGCTATGCTCCCAGCCCCAAAGAAATAATTCTTAGTTATTACATAATGACTTGATACTTATATTGCAAAACATGGGCAATGTACCCAATCTATATTTATAAAGCTTGAAAATACTAATTTACTATAACAAAGATAGATAGGCTCCTATATTCACAATTCAAAATTTATAATTTAAAAATATGTATTTGAATCCTCTAGCATAAATTGCTACTATAAATACTAAAATAATATTTCAATTTCCTCAAAAAGTCACTTTATGAAAAAGGGCATAAAATACACTTTAGCAGTATTTAAATGGAATAGGTTCAAATCTAACTAAATATAAGTAGGAAATTTGCAACTTTGCATAATCTAGGCTTTTTTGTTACTTTTGAAACAACTACTAGTACATTGATAAGATTCACTTATATTTCCTTGTGGATCCAATAATCATGTATCTTTTAAGCCAAGAATGACTTCTGTGTTGTTCTACTATGCTAGTAAAATAAAAGTGGCCCTAAAGAATTGAGAAGAACAAATAGCAGAACTTCAGGCCAAACAATTCTCTTCTAAAATATTCTGGGAATTAAATTGTCTCTCATTATTGTAGAAAAGAAAAGCAACAGGTCTTCATTCATTCCTCCTTTTTGTCAAATAGGTTTAACTTTATTAATGTTATACACTTTAATAATATTTATATGCTATCATTTTACATGATGGAGAAATATACCTAATGGTGTTACTACTATTGAGTTCATATTTTGAACAGGAAAAATAAGGTCACATGATCATAAGTTACCTTTCTCAAGATGCATCCTTTTCGACTCATGCCCCATGTCATGGCCAGCCAAGTCTCCCTCCTTTGGCCCAGGGAGTACATTTGGTGATAAACCCATCAGCATCTGGTTCATGGACAATCCATTCTGATGGACAGCTGTTAAGCCCAAAAGAAAAGAACAGACACAAAAACACCATAACACAAATGTGTCAAATATACCAAGAAAATTCTTTTACACTCAAAATTAAATATAGTTAGGTCTAATTTTGAAGTTATATCACTAAAAACACTGTAAAATTGATAACAATGATAATTCTTGAGGATAAATAGAAAATATTCTAAATGACACAATTATACTTTATTTTTACATCACATAAAATAAAACATTTTTAATGGATGGAATAATTTTGGATAGTCATACCACTTCAACCTCTATCAAGAAATAGTCAATCTTTTATTTATGGCATTAAATTTTCTCCTCAGTAAATAGCTTTCTTAATTCTGCAGTTACAATCTTAACATTAATCTGCTCTTTAACACTATGAGGTTAAATTGTAATAAATAATATCCTAGCAACCAGAAATAGCAAATATTTTTCCACAATTTAAGGCACTTGGATAATGACTTCAATATCCTTATCATATCTAGACAATAGAACATAAAGTGTCATAGATACCTAAGTATTTCTTTAAAAATTGGTTTTAAACTTCAATTTGAAAATAAAAGTGGCCAACTAATATCTACTGATTGATTGGAAAACTAAAGTTAATAATCACTTGTTTGAATGATTAACAGTAATCTGTCACTACTGGAATGATAAAACACTACCACTATTGAGATGATCAAACACTTGTGATTCTCACAATGAATTCACTTAATGATCTTGAGTATTTTTGCAAAAGTTGAGGAGAGAGTCAGTTGATAAAGCCTTACTTTCTCTGGAAAGTAGAGATTTAAAAAATATATATCGTAAGAACATATTTGGGACTGCCATTTGGCAACCACAATTAATAACTGTTTCAGAGATCAATAATGATTCTTGAACAGTGAGTAAAAATTTTATGAAGAATAGAGCATTTGTATAATCTTAAAATACTTTCACACAAGAAGTTTAGTATCTATAAAGGTTAAAAAAAGTAACATTAAGTAGAAAAACTGGGTAGTCACCACATTAACAACATAATAATCTTATCATCAGTACAGCAAGAAGATCATGGTTCCTGAAATGATTTGCTGAGGATGCTCTGTCAGAGCTGTGATTCCTGCCACAAATGCATAAGTAAGATAATCATCAAAAAATCCAAGCTAAGAGACATTCTACAGTATAAGTGCCTATACTCAGGAAAAATACTAAGGTACAGAAAGGGGAAAAAAGCTAAGGAACTATTCCAGTTTCCTTAGTTAAAGGAATCTAAATGGATAGGACAACCGGCTTTTGGGCCAGTAAAGAAAATCATCCTGCTGTTAAAAAATATCAATGGGAAAGTTGGTGAAATTCAAATAAGGTCTACAATGTAGAGAATAATACTATGATGATGTAAATTTCCTGATTTTGATCATTGCTCTGTGGATATGTAAGAGAACTCTCTTATTTGCAGAAATTAAGCAATGAAGTATTTGAGGCAAAAAAAAAAGGTCTTATGTCTAAGGTAAGGACACTAGGAAGAATTTGCCTTTATACAGCTACTTCTTTCAGAAAGATTGATTAATCGATTGATTGATTGGGTAAGTCTAGATGACAAGTATGTAAGAATTATTGACATTATTGTTCAAAATTTTCTGTTAATATAAAATTATTTTAAAATAGCATATTAAAATGAATATACATATGTGAATGTATGCATGTATAGTATATTTGTATGTTTGCATTTGAACAATTATGATAGACCAAGCATTACAACAATTTTTCTCTGCTTCTATCAAGAATTTTGAAAATACAATTATTAACAAGGTAACAAGAATGTATACACAAACACTTTCAAATCTTCCCCAATCCATCTACCTCTTCTATATTTAATAATTTGCAAAACATATTTTTCTTTCTTTAGAAGCACGGAGCCTTTCTAATGACAGAATCTTATGAAAGCAATAGAAATGAAACAAATGTTCAATGTTAAGTTTCTCATTCCAGTGTTAGCATAACACAAAAGCGTACAGATAATGTTTTATTTAAAACTATTTTGAAGTAATGGGAGCAGAGTTTTACCAACCTCAAAATCTTCATTGGATTGGGGATGGTTATCAAGTGATGCATACATTTTTATCAGTAAGCAGTTACCATCATTTCATTGAATTAGGGAAATAAGTTTTAGATGGACCAAATGAAGTACTTATATTTAGTAGCATAGATAGCCAATTATTGCTATTATAGCCAATTATTGACTATTATATTCCATACAATTCTGCATAATTCATCAACTCCAACATTTGTCAGATTATGAGTTTTTGATTTATGCAAATAATCCTTTACAACCTAGTAATATTCTTTCTTAAAATCTTTTTTCTAATGCTGGTAAGTATTGTGTAATTGAATGAAATGTATATACCAATATGACTTTGAAAAACAAGTAAACTCTAGAAATGATACAGTATTATATGTATATTATTGAGAAAACAATTTTCAATTCTTGTGCAGACACAAAAATCACCTGATAATTGAATGGCATTTTAACTTTGCTCTTAATTTTCTTAGCTATGAGGACCAAGATTAAATATTGTGAACATGATGAAGTAAAATATGCCCTATTTTAAAAGTTTTAATAATAATATACAATAACAAAATGCATTGCTGATTATTACTGATTCAAATCATAAAATTTAGCTAATTTTAAATGTTCAGTCCCTTGAAAATCTGAATGCCTAAGAAATACTTCTTCAAATCTACTGTCTTGAATTTGATTTCCTCTTTGTGGATGTCTTCATTAATGCAATGATGAACATTAAAAACTAGTGAGAAACAAAATGGAAAGAGGTGGGAGAAGGAATGAAACTGAATAATCCATAAGCAATATACTTAGACAATCAATATTTGAGAGTTGGCTGCTTATTCAGAAACTAATCTGAAAGGTTACATACCTTTCTGTTACATAGCTCAAATCTTTATGTGTAGCATCAAAGAGAGGAGTTTATATCAGAACCTGTTAATGTTGGATCATACTTCATGATATCCCAAACAGGGAAACATAATTTTGGGAGATGGCTATTGCTACAGAGCTTCAGAACATGATATATCTGAAATCTATTTGGAATGAGAGCATTTTGATTAGAAAACCCAGCTGCACCTAATAAAGCTTAAAATGGTGACAAGTGAAAGGATGAGACCTACGGATTCTGTCAGAAGAGCTCTCGGTCCGTGCTGGGGAGCTGGACACACTGCTGCTGCGATGCGATGATGGGTGACTGCCAGGCCTTCGACCCTCCTCCAGAGAAGGGGCAGGGGAGGGGCTGTCAGGAACACGCTCCTACATTACCACAGGAGGGGAGAGGGAAGAAAAGATGAAAACACATTGGACCTTGATTTAATTAATGCTATTTTTTCCTAATAAAATAAGAAACATAAGGAGAAAAAGAACACACTTCATGAACATTTAACTGTACTAGAAGATATCTTTTACCTTGAGCAAAGCCTAAAATATACCCAATTTCAAACTCTTCAATCCATCAATCATCTGCATGACTCATGTCATGCAGGAAAAGAATGGTTACAAATCTATGGTTCTACAGGTAAGCCTACGGTTCTAATGGTTATCCCTTCAGTTATATTATCCTATTTCAGCAAACATTTGTGGAACATTTAGCACGCTTATCATGTGACTGACAACAATAAGAACACTGGAGGAGTTCATAACTGCTATTTCACCATGACATGGTTTGGATATACTTAGATGGTGAAGATTTAAGGCACCATGGAAATCACTTATTTAACATTGAAATAATTTTCTTTGATTCAAATAATTCTCAGAATACACTACTTCCATTCAGCCACACAAATGTATTAAGAGAGAAATTCTGTTTCAGGGAAACTTGGTGTCATGTTTTCTGGTATTATTTTATGTAAACACTCATATCCTATCACTGTATCTTACCCTCCACTAAGCACTGTACCTTCCCATTAAAGTATTGTGCAAGTACATGACATAAATGCCTCCAGCGAGCTTATTTAAATTAATTTACTCATTAACAATATAGCCATTAGTTAACATTTCCTACTTTTAGCAGCAAACTGTTTTGGTATTAGCAGACATATGCTCTGATGAACTATCTTTGCAGTAATTAATGTATATTTCAAAGTGTACAATATACTTCCATATAGAAAGTATACTATTCCTTAATAGGTTAAAAAGATGCAAATATGAAAAAGCAAAATCTTACCAACTGAAAAGAATAATAAAGTAGAGCATAATTGACCTGAACGAAGAGTGCTTATGTTACAAAATGTTAATGGTTTGCTTAATTTTGAAAACGAAGGAGAGAATTAAAGCTTTGTACTACCAATGAGAAAGAGGATAACCTGTGTCTTTGGTCACAACTATTCCACTAGTCTTTCAATGGTTTACAATCCCACTGCACAGCAGAATCACCTGAGAAGTTCTGAAATGTGCTTGTGCTTGGGCTTCACTCCCAGAGATTCTGGTTCACTGAGTGTTAGAACTCAACTGTTTCCCAAAGAAAGACATGTTGAAATCTTAGCCTCCAGCTCTTATGAATCTGAGTTTCTTCAGAAGTAGGGTCTTTGCAGACCCTATTAATTAATTAGTATCCTTGTAAGAATGTTGTGAAAATACAAAGAAAGATGTTATTGAAGATGGAAGCAGAGATTGGAGTCCAATGAATGCCTAGGATTATGAGACTACCAAAAATTATGGAGAAGCAAGAAAGGATGATACCAGAATCTCAGATGGAATACTGTCCTTCTGACACCTTGATCTTGGAATTCAAGGTTCTGCATATAATCTTAACATGGAAGCAAAATCAAGTTCCCCTGTGTCATACCCTTGTAACTTTTCAATGCTGTACATTGGCAAAAAACACCTTCAACAGATACACCTAGGCTTCATGTTTACACAGAATGACAAACAGAATGAAAATAAATGGAAAAAACAGCCAAGTGTTCTTCCAAAATCCATGTTTTAAAATGATTCCCAATCTATGTACCAAAGAATAAAATGTAATTCCATAAGAAAGTTCATAACAAAACACTTGCATGATCAAACATTATTTTAAAGATTTAAAAGGAAAAAAATCAACAAAATTCTGCTCTCAACAGCTGCAATGCATATTAAAATAATATCATGATAACTTGCTAAATCTTAGAAACTTTTCAACTAGTCTAAAATACCTGGATTGGCTTCCTAAAGGACAATTAACCCAACCCCACTGAAGGACAGCGTTGTGTTCGATATTAGATTACAGCACTAGCCCTTTACCTAAATGGATGAGATGTTAAGAATTAAGTTCTCCATTTTCTGCTAACAGCAAAATTGAGTGAATTTTAGATAAATTTAGATAATATACACAATACATTTTCCAACTCAAGTTCTTTAAGTTTCCACTTGAAAGACTGAAATTAAGGACAAGTGATGGGGGAAAGCAGGGAAAGAGCAAACGTGTACCCTGGATCTTAAAATTTAAAACTATCTTGTTCTGGTAAGTTTATGGCACTTCATTCATTTGACATGCTGAAATAGGACACCAAAGAAAATTAGCATCAAACAGTAAAATTTGCAGATTGAAATGTTCTGAAATCTATCTCAAATAACATTAAAAATGAACACATGAGGGCTGGCTGAGTAGCTCAAGTGGTAGAGTGTCTGCCTTGTAAGTGTGATGCCCTGAGTTCAAACTACAGTGCTGCCCAAAAAAAAAAGAAGAAAAAAGAAATGAACACAATATTAGTAGTTTTCTAAACTAAAATAAGTAAAACATGTTACACTTCTAAAATTTCTAAATTATTTAGTCCACAAGGCAAACAAATGAACCAAATTTATAAGAAACAATCACATATATGATTAAAAACAGTAGCTATCTTAAACAAACAAAAATGTCATTTATTTTTTTTCTTTTACAAAATCGGAGAATAGGAGGGCAGAACAGGTCCTGCAGGGGGTTGGGACGGTGGTACCAGTTGGAGGAGGAAGGAGCTGGGGAAAGAGTGTGGGAGGGTGAATATTGTGCAAACAGTGTATATACATGACTGAAATGGAAAAGTGATACCTGTTGAAACTATTCAGAGAATGGAGGGAAAGGGAGGAAAGGAGAATGATGGAGGGGGTGAATTCAAGTCTGATCTATTGTGAGAACTTGTGTAAATGCCACAATGTACCCCCACTCAACACAACAATAAAAATTAAAAAGAGTACATAATTCTCACATGGATACCAAATGTTACTTCCTATCTTCTAGTTATAATTTCTAAGCAGTTTAGATTAAAAATATGTTTCCTGCCATTAATTGATAGTCCAAATTATAAAGTAGCTTCAAATGGCAAAAAGTCTAATCTAATATCAAGCTTCTGTGACTACAAATCAAGATATAGTCTTAGAGTGAAAACTAAGCAAAAAATTCAAAGGTTGGATTTAAAAACTAAGCAAAAAATTCAAAGGTTGGATTTTGTATTTCTTTTGAATTACTTATGCATATATCACAGAGGATGGCTTTATAAAATTGTATAATAGAATTCTTATACTTTGCATAAATGTATTCATAAATCACACTGTAGTTAACTGCCTACATGACTAGTGATACCCTTTAAAGTTGATACAGTGTAGCAGATTTCTTTAAATTTTCACAGAAAAAAACACAGTTGTCTAAGCTGTAAAGCTAACTCCTAATATATATAACTGTTAACACCTGGCTTACATAGAATTACACAATACGTATTTGGAAAAGAGAATTTCTGTGTTTTTATAAAAATATAATTTTCTAAATTAAGCAGTCTGTTTCTTTCAAAAAGTCACTCACATAAATGTTTACCAATACATTTCAATATTTCTCTTAATAATCATGTCAGTGATCAATTTGTAATGGCACAAGATTGGTTGAACAGATATAGAGAACAATCTAGAAATAAATCAATTTCTCTAAATTATTTTGCAAGTCTGATTCTCCTGTCACAATAGATTTCTTAGTAGTGCTAATGGAAAATGTGCAGATACATTTTTTCCTTAGACATTTAATTCATAAAAACAAGTATCTATTGCATAAAACTCTAGCAAAAATGGTTCTGCCATTAAAAAAGAATTCCTTGCTTATTTTAACATTATTCACATTAGTAGAAAAATGTCTCATTAGTCAATATATTTAATTTTCAAAGTCTCCTTTGGTGATTCCTTTAATTTATGAATTATTTACTTATTCTTTTATATATTCAAAATCCTCTAAACATCACATAATAAACTAAGTAAAAGCAGATTAAAATCTTAATGTAAAATACATTGTAATAGCATAGTTTGACTGAGGAAATATTAGTACAATTGTGTTTAATTTAGCTTTGCCTCCTTTAACTTTATTATAGTTTGATATTTAAGAACAAAGACTACAAAGACAACACTTGATGCTTTTATTTAAAGAAAATATTTTAATGTATGCAAATTTATGATTTAAAAGCTTAATTATTCAATTGAAATTTTCTATAAATTGAGACACAACATATTCAGTCATTTCACTTAATGTATAATTTCAATCTTTAGAACATGATGCATTGTTCTTTGAAGAATTTCATTAAAGTAAAATCCATTGAGCAAGTAAGATTTGAATACATTGTTGCACAATAAATTAATTTATTTCAACAGCTTAATTCTTTTATCATATTTATATGCTTGCCTTCCCAGAGAATAGTGGAGACAGTAAAGAATTGCTTAGGAGAGAATCTCGTAATTATTACTGAAACAAAATAGATAATGAGTTCTATCCAGACATAATAAGAAAGAAGTAGTTCAATGTCTATAAGGAAACTATGTCAACTGGATTTATCATTTCATTTGTGTAATACCCTTTAACCTCCATGATGGGCCTGAATTAGAGCAGAGGAAGATTATTAATTTAATACTTCAACATGCAGCTTTACAGTCCTGCTTCAACTTCCCCAATCAAGAAAACATAACATTTTGCAATGTTCCATCTCTATAAAACTTGCCACAATAACAAATGAAAATAGCAAATGAAATGACAGTACTCTTTCACTGTCATACTTATAAACTAATGGTAACAGAATAGCAATACTGCGCTTATTGCCATGAGGAAGAAGAATTGGTCTTTGTGACAATTCAGAACCAACGATGGAATCCAAAAACAGCCTACCTAAAATTCTAAAATAAAAAATATAATATACTCAGTATTATACACATTGTTAACTGAATGTTTTAAAAATTGCAAGATCTTAGCTGCCTCCTCTCCACCACAAAATTAAAATATTCTCTAAGTTAATAAACACTTTGTCTAAGGGAATATTTTATTATTTTAT